ATAAATAACAAAAGAGTCCGTCTTTTTCCTCTTTGTTTTCATGCAAAAAAACAAACAAACAAATTATTAGATAAACCTTTATATGTATTTAAATATAATTGTACAAAACATTTCCTGAATGTGAAGTGTTTCTGTATTTATCAAGTGGGCCGGTATTTGCCTGCGGGCCTTATATTTGACACCCCGATTTGGGATGCTGCCGGTGATAATGATTTTTAACGAACACCAAGTCCTCTCTGACTGACTTTTCTCACCTACTTTTTCCTTTATTGCCCTTTCTAGATGTTGGAGCCTAAGGTGGATGCCCCTTCATGTGAGCTGGACGGAGTCGGAGGAGATCGAGGAGGTGTTTGCCTCCACCTTCCTGCCCGTGGTTCAGAAGGTGAGGAAAGCAGTGTATATCCTTCAAGCCCCTCGGAGCCTCCGACCCTCGGCAGCCCTCACCCCTCAGAGTCCCTCACCCCTTTGGAGGATATCTACATGCCCCTGGGTAGCCTTCTGGGGTCTGAGGAGCAACATAAGGTACCTCCTACACCTCCTCCCTCCACCGAGGGTGAGGATTGCAAGAGCATAGAGGGACATGAGATGGAAATCTGGAGAGAGGAGAAGAGCAGAGAGGATGAAGAGGAAGATGGTATGAGTAGGAAGAGTATTTTCAGTGAAGGAGAGGAGAAGGACGGAGGAGAGGAGGAGGCCAATGAGGAGGAGGTCAACCTGAACCTGCTGGTGTCAAACACAGATGAAGACAACGCCTCAGAGCCGCCGGATACAAACGCCCCACCTTCCTTCTCCTCCTCCTCTTTTGTCATCCCTGAACTGCGCCTCGACCGCTCCTACAGCGCCGACGCCCTCTCCTCGCCCAACACCGACGAGGAGGATTACGATGAAGACGACGAAGATGAGTCCGAGGAGGAGGACGAGGAGGGGGACAGTGACGACGCCTACCTGCAGCGAACTGACAGCAAGCGGCGCAGCATGGTGGAGGGCGCCACCTGTGAGAAACACGGAGGAGGCGGGCTCAGGGTGCAGAACTCCCTGCGCAGACGCACGCACAGCGAGGGCAGCCTCCTGCAGGATCCGCGCACGCCGTGCTTCACCTCTGACAACGCCATCAACTGCCTAGAGGCCGGAGGAACTCACCACAAGGGGGGGTGGACTCTGCCGTCGCCCAAAACCCTGAAGAAAGAGCTGACCAAGAACGGAGGCTCCATGCATCAGCTGTGCATGCTGTTCTCTGGGAGGAAGGTGAGTCGAAACTCACACAAATACTGAGAGAAAATATTACAAATATTACAAATACTGCTAGTTTAATATAGGCCTATAAATACATTTTAATTTTCCTCATTATATTAAATACAATTATGATAAAATAACATTTTACAGCTGCTGCCTGTAACTACATAAAGGGTTCACTTTTGCCCACTCCTGTCTCTGCAGGTCTACTTTTGTAAATACTCTCTAATTTACAGTTCTCTTTTTGAACGTTCTAGCTAGTACTGCAGTGATTTCAGGTATTAATTTGGTGTACCACCAGACTTCTTACACTTTAGTAAAAAAAGAAAAGAAAAAAAAATTCAATCTGATTGTGCCCAGTACCACTAGAGGGAGCCCACATACCACCAGTGGTACACGGACCACAGGTTGAGAACCAGCATAACATTACTCTTACGTAAAGTGCAGCTCATACATTTCATTACTTTTAGATCTTTTTTGGTTTTAGCAAAACAAAACAAACATGTAAAAGTGGTTAATAAAAATCACAGTTTTCTTCATTGAATGAATAGAATCCACTTGCAATGTTGGTTGCAGGTTCAATTCCACCTCCAGGTGGGGTATGTCTGAAAGGACATTTGACAAATATTACCATATTGACTACTGCAATAGTAAAGTGATTTTTCATATTCTCAAATAATGATGTCACATGAAGAAAAACAACAACAACAATCTTTGAACTCAACTTCCCTCCTGGTCGAGTGTCTTTCTTCCCAGTTTTCTTCCCACAGCAGTTTTTTTTTTTTTTTTAAGTGCAGCTGATCACCGGCAAATGTTATAACTGGTGGACCACGCTTTGCCCTGCGGCTAATTCAGTTAAACAGATGTATTTATCTGCTGAACTGATGCGTCATCCTCCGTCAGACAGTTTCCCCAAATACAATCACGTACTGTACTAAACACACGTCTCAGGACTGTTGACATGTGGCCCAGGGAAGGTTGACTGGTTTGATACAAAAGTGATTTTCATGTGTGTGTAAAGAATACAACTTGTACTTGGTGGCTGAGGCTGGAAGAATGTGTGACACAGAGGAAGAGGCTGTGACAGAGTGGCACCAAGCTAGCCAGCTGTTTAGCTAGCAAGCAGCAGCACGATATTCAGATCAACAATTCCGTCTACGGCAAAACCCATGACTTTTACCCAATTTTTAAATCTTTAAATTAGTGAAGTTTACCATTTCACGAACTGTCGTTTTAACAAGAGTTTGTACAGTGTATTATTTAACTTTTAAAGTAGTTATTTTACTTATAGTTACTTAACAATAGTTCTTCTAATATCCAAAGTCTCTGTCAAATACATCTCACTAATACTAAATCGTGGTCTTACTCATAGTTAGATTTTATTCTTTTTTATTTATACTTTTTTATTTACATATATGGACGTAAATATCAACAGACCAGTGTCGCTATTGCATCAGCAAAACCCAGCGATCTCAGCCCAGTGTCTGTTCAAACTTGTTTCTGTAGAAAGGGCGACATCAAGTGGCGGATATGTGTACGTGCAGAAATAAATCCAGGTATAATTTAGCCTGTGTAGTTAGCGTGTATTTTGAGTTTAAGTACCTAAAAAACATTGAAGGTTAAAAGGAGTGTAATATTTTCAATAGAATTTTTATTCTACTCATTTTTTAAAAAACCGTTCAATAGAATTTTTATTCTACTCATTTAAAAAAAACCTTATAAACACTATAACTCTACAAATACAAACTTAATAATTAAGGATACTACAGTCCAGTCCATCGTTGTCGTGATTATATTCTCACAGAATTGCTCTAAATGATCTTCCACATTAACATTTACACGTCTGATCTACAGAAGAGCCTATTACTAAATTATTTATATGGCAATTTCAGTTACACTGTAAAATTAATAACATCTAATGCTGTTCATACTGTTGTGCAGAATACATTAGCATCAGAAGTAGAGTAAAGAATAGCATTGCTATTAAATATTAATGATTTGTTTTAATGTGATTCCCACAAATACATTATTAAATTGGATTAAAACTATATATATCTAGTCTATTTATAGATTTAAATATAACTGTATAGACATATAAATAGATTTTTACTTTCTTTAACCTCATTGTTTTTCTGTTGACAACATTAAATAGATTTTTACTTTCTTTAACCTCGTTGTTTTTCTGTTGACAACATGCGGCAATAAGAGGTTGCAGCAATGACAGTTTTAAAGAACTTTAAAGTGAATTAGTACATTTATAAAACTTTGTGCCTGTAGTTCAGTGTAGATGGCAGTAGTTGTCCAACAGGGGGAGGCCTGTGACACGTTCAGCTCACCCTGCAGCCACATCACACTCCTTCTCTTCCATCTGCTCAAGGTGAAGTCCTTAAATAGTAAAAACCATTCTCTGGGTCCCAAACTTTTTATTTTTCTGGTGACCCATATTTTAAAAGTCACAAACCTTCACGACCCAAGTCAATAGACATTATTGGTAAACATGATGCGAGACGACCCCCCCCCCGGGTCCTCCCAGTCTCTACACTGCATCTGGACTGCTCTACTTTTCCCATTATTTTTTTATTTTTTTGAGCAGAGCTGAATCCAAGAGTTCCATCACCCCCTCCTCCAATAAAAA